GGGGGGGGGGGGGGGGGGGGGGGGGGGTCATCATGACGACCGCCATGGTCGATTCCAACGTCTCTCGTCTGTTAGAAGAAAATCAATAAGCGAGATCCTGTAATGCTAAGATTTATGTGCCAGTTAATCAACAACCGTATAATATCTGTGAAGATACATGATTTGTAGTGTGCATGAAACTTAATCGATTTTTCCGCATCTTACTGGCTAACAATATGCCTGACTATAAATTGTTGAATGAGTAAACTCTAACCTGTAATATTATCGTTGCATAAATATCGTCATGTTAATATTTGTGCTAATAATCTGTTGTTATCATACACGTGTTGCAATCCAGTCTATCAAGTGTTACTTTTTGTCAGTAATGTAAAAGTATCGCAACTCTCTATTAAGTTGTAAAAATTGTTTTACATAAAGTATTTGACATCGATTTGAACATTAGCCACCAAGTGATTGTATACGTAGATTTCGATATTTTATATATTAAATATTCGGAATCGATTATTGATAATATATTTTAATGAAAAATTTCATCAAAAAAGAAGCTTTAGTTTTCATATTAGAAACTTACTAAGCGATATAAAAAACATGCGCTAAGCATGCGTTAATAAAATGATCACTTGACGGATTTCTTTATCAAGATGATTAATTATTTACTGGGGTTTTGTACTATGTTATTCGAATATGAAGATCGCTATCGTTTCGACTAATTATCTTTATTGGTAAATTCAATATCTACTCATTGTGCAACACGCGAATGTCAATCTTTATTATTATTATTATTATTATTATTATTATTATGTACATTATAGTATAATTTCAGTATGACGTTTAAGTTGAAAACATAATCGGTTAGTGTATTACATCTCAGAACTATAGGAAATTCAATTTTCTATATTTATGTCCGATTCTAATTCTAAATTTAAAAAAAAAATTGTTTGAATTGATGTATAATAAAATAAATATGACGTCAGTCAATTTATCAATTAATAATAATATTTAAGAATAAGATATTATTTTTAATTGTTGTTGTAATAATATGAATAGTAATTCTGATTAGTATAAAGTCATAGATAACTCACATAAGTTATAGATTTTCGGTCTCTGACATAACCTGTTTGTATTAACTTCATGCTGCAACGACTTTAAGCCTTATATATATATGCAACGTAAATATCCTATAAAACATCTTTTATTCTTACTTACACTTACAATTCATTTTCATGAAATGTGTGAATACTTAGCGCTTTATAATCAATATTAAGTATACTAGGTAATTTAGCGTGACATTTTACTTTATGCAAGAAAAATATCTGACAAAGAAATTAAATGTTAATCACTGGTTAAATCTAGAAATGAAAAAAACGAATAAAATTTAACGCATAATACTTGTTTTTTTGTTATCCAATTAATTTCTGGACGAATAAAAATCTTTCATCGAAAACAAAAATGGAGAACAATGGATCTGCTGATAACATAAATAATTTGAACAATATTCGATCATTCAATTTACAAGAACCTGTCAAAATTTAATATACGAAATGGATGTTTTTATTTTAGTAAAGCAAACACCATTTTTTAATTATAATCATATCTAATTAAAAAGTAATCGTGATAAATAAAAAATAAATATAATCTTTCAATATAATTCAGAAAAATGAAATCACTATAACTTTTATTATAACTGTTACATAATAATAATAATTAAAAAAAAAAAGTAATTCTATCGTGAGAAAACAAACAATTTTTTAATTATATACAATAGATTTTTTTTGTTTTATTCAAAATTAAGGCCGTAATTTCGAAATTCTAATAAATTATAACACACCAAATTTATTTTAATTTTTACATGTTTTCGAAAGTATCATATTTTTTCAATTAATTTTTTTATTGAAGATATTGCAAATGTTCCAATGTATTGGTAGAAAAAATGACTGATTTAACAATATGTACTCCTTTAATAATATAGAATAAAATATTTGAATTTCAAATTTTGTTTCCTATGTATTTAACTATATATTTTTTAAAATGTATATTTCATGCAAATTTTATGCACAAATTATACCATGATTTAAGAGACAAAGGACTCCATATAAAACGGTTAAATAAATAGAAATCTAAAAAATAAGAAGCAAATTAATAAATAGCAAAAATTTGGAGGTAGGAAAATACCACAAAATTTTTTACACAACTATTTTATTGCTTCTTTATAAATTTACTATCTTGCCACTAATAATGAATCCTATAGTAGAAATCCATACATGCACAAAAATTTTTCAATTGTCAACTTACCCACGAGGAGTATTCCCAGTATTTCCGCGTATTTTCACGAAAGTAAACCGTCAGAAAATTGTGGAATTCACTAAATAATTTACTCGTCAAGGATCCGCCCTTATAATTTTTCTCGATCGATAACCAATACTTTTCAACGTGTTTTGATGTCACAAAATGCGAATTTTTTCTTTATCGTATGTGCATAACCACTTCGATTGAATACGCCCTGAGTACTGAAACAGAATTGAGCGCTGCTGTGTGTCACGTCATTGAAACGCTTCCGAGTATATCTATGGCTAAAAGAGGGCGCAAGCCATTTCTTTAACCACTTACACATAATACTGCGATCCATTTATTAAATTTAAAATAATAATAACTTGCAGAATGCTGTTTCTACAGTACAATGAATTATTCTATATGATTATATGGAAAATAAATTGATGTCTTAATTTGTACAAGATTTAGTACTTCTTTGACGAGAATATTTTATAGATCCGTAATATTTTGGGATATGTAATATACAAATTACTTTGATATCCGAATGATTTGTTTTATACAAATACTTTAAACCGTAAATTAAAAATAACATTCCCCACTTGCGATCAAATAGTTGAATTTAATAATATCATGCTGATCTTTTTGAAACATGTCTAACAAATTTTTAAAATAATAATTTACCTTAGGATATTCAAGTGTGTGAAAATTTGGGATTTGATCAACTATTGATAAGTTTTTGTGATACTGAATTGCGATTGATGCGTTTCTTTTGAAATAAGAAGTAAATGCTTTTATTATTGTGTATCAATGTTAAAAAAAAAAGTTATTAATGAAAATATTAATACATTTATTTTATTTTCTATTCATGCATAAAGTATAAAAAAAAAATTACAAATTCATGCATAAATGGAATTAGAATGTGGACAAATAAGCAATTCAGAGTCTTAGTTTATTTTTTATTTTATTTTACTTTAAATAAGATTTTTATACTTTTGTACGTGTGAATAGTATACGTTTATATGTGAGTGTGTGTATGTGTGTGTGCCTGAGTACGTGTAGCTGTGTCTACATGTACATATTTATACAATTCAAAAACGGGTTGTTCTAATAAAGTCTAAAAAGGAGTCTTAACATAAGTCTCCATGTCCCATTTACAATGAAACTATGTTACTTGTAACTACAGCAAAATCGTTCTTTTAGCAGGATAATCGTGCGCATCAAGTTCTTAAAAGATTTATTAAAAAAAGAATTTGTCACCTAAAGTTTCATATAACTTTAAACTATATTCAGTTAAAATAAATATGTTACAACTAAATTGAAAAGTAATCACATAACAGAAATCAACAATAAAATGTGTAGTTTAAAAAAAAGCAATAATTTATAAAGTATATCAGTGATATTTGTTATTTTCGTAATTAGAAGAAAAATAATTACAACACAAATACTATAAAAATTATTTAAACTATACTTTATTTGAACTTATGTGTAGTATTCAAAGGCGGCTGCTCACGAAAATCCAGACAGGAAGTAATCGGGACGATCACTTTTGGACCACGTAGCAAGCAACAGTTGTAGTATGCTATGTTCTAAATGTATATAAAACTAAAAGAACGATTCTGCTCGAATTTCCCTGTTTTACAGTTCGAAAAAAACTCTCATCGCGTCTTGTATCATGCCCTGAACTGAATTCTCATATTTTTCTTTACTTCTTTTCTCTGCATAGACTTTAAGCCACTTTCATACGTTCAAGCGATTGTTTCGAGGTTATCAACCATGGGTAATAGGATGTCTTATTAATAAAGAGGTAGTGAGAACGTTCTGGTTATTGAGTAACAGTCAACAAGAGAAATCTTCGAGAAGGAAATTCAACATTTAAGACACACTTGGTGGACACATGTATTAGAGGATTAATTAAATTCTCGAAATCTTCCGTTACATGGAAACATATCCTTCATTCACTTGAACAAAACATGCTTAAGATCTCGTTACGTTAGACGTAAGTTTGCTTCGTTCGCAACTATATAGAAGTTCTCACTAATTCTTTTACAAAAATTATTAGCCCATACCTCGTCTTAATAACTACTTAATGCTACTTGAAAGTCCATCAGTCGAAGCGACTGTACGTCTCGATTTCGTATATTTGAAATGCAGTTTTTGTTTTCATAATAAAATATTACTTTATACATTTCGTAAACGCCTGTAAGGCCGCGTATGCATAACCACGCTACCATAACGCGAGCACATGCATTGTAGAACTAGTTATTGTACCACGATGAAAGAATAAATTATTACCCGAATGGCAAAACGTGCCGATAAATTTATATATATGTATATTAAGACGCAAGACAAATAGTAATCCATACATAGATATTCGCTTTTTTCGTTTTAAATATTGAAGAATGGAATTTTTGTATATTTGTTCGAAGAAAATACTTTGTAATTTTCTCGTATGAAGGCCCCGTACAGTCACAAGTGTATGTTCTAAGTAAAAATGATGAAACTAACTTGTTTGAATGTACGAGCGATTTTCTAGAAAATTGCTTATATCAAGAAATTACATGCAGTTTGATTTGTTTTCTCGAATTTTAATATTAATTTTCGGTTTATGTTTACAGTTCGATCGAACGTCTAAAATAACGATTTGAAAAATTGTAATTTTTTAATTTTACGATTAGTCAACATCTTAATAAATAAATAAGTTGCATCGATTGAGAAGGAATGACAATTATAATATTCGTGTATGACTGTATGATGCCATTGGGCTGTATAATATAATAGCTGTGCAAATAAACTGGAAATGCATCATTAGAATTAATGTACACGCACGCACGCACACGCTATGGGAACGGAGGTATATTAACCTATTTGTAGCTCAAAAAGTTCATAAAATTCAGGTTCATCATCACAGAAAAGCTATGTATATATATATATGTATATCACACATATACATATATATTATATACATATACGCGTATTTACATACATATCTTTAAAATCTTGCATGTACAAACGCACATGAACCGGAAGGAAAGAATGGTAACTAAATTAAAACTGTTAATCGAACATACTTTGCTCGTGAATTTGGATTAATTCTACTTTCTGTCCTTGATCGACAAAACTAATTGATAAAACTAGGTACAACATAACATATATGATACTAAAAGGGAAGTGAAGACGATCTCTGGTTGTTTCGATATAATTAATAATAAAATCAACAAAATGACAAAAATATTCGACTAATATATTTTTAATATTCTTTGTGGATATATCTCGCATGACGTATATTTACAATGATATCTTTGGCGTTATTTGGAAATAACTTGTCAGATTTTTACATGTAGTTCAATGAAAAAAATCACGCCGAAAGGAACGTTTTATTTTTTTTCTTACTTTTTCTTTGAGAACGTATCGTGAAAAAGTACAAGACGAATTTCATTTAACCCTAGAGGAATAAGACTGGTTGAACGTTTATCAAATTATCGCTTTTATCATTTATCTATTATCCTGAGATTCAAACTTTTCTTAATTATCGATCACACTTATTGTAGAACCCGATTCGTAAAATGTGTGCACTTTATTGCTAAAGCAAGCATCATATTTCGATTTATATTATTTTAACTGTGATATTATCTATAACTAGCTTTAAATTTCTGTTCCTCGTTACAGTTTTTATTTCTGCGGTTATAGTGTTTCAAACTTTGAGAGATTACTAATATTTTCATCAGATTCTTGTATAACACCATTGCTCAATGATTATTAAATTTGCCGAGTATAAAGTGAATACAAGATTTTTGTAAATATCATAAGATGTTAATGGCAAACAGTGATCATATGGAACTCGTTAATTCGCTATTTGATCAATTTACATATCGATATAAATCTCCTCAAGTTGCTTGTAACATTATCTTTGGACATCGTTATCAACAATCGATCTCGCTTATTTGTACATCGTTAGATCGATTGATCATTCATTGTTCGGACAGGCGCGAAACTTAAAGGACATATAAATCCTTAATGAAAGAAGATACCTCAAAAAACGTCATTTCTTTTCTTTTAGATGAATCACTTAATGTGTTAAACTGTTTAATTAGCTCGTACATATGTTATTCTATGAAGGAACCACGAATGTTTAATTGAATGTAAAACACGCGACTAGTTTAGCGTAATGCGGGAAAAAGATACCGCTTAAAACTAATTGCACAGGTGCTAATTGCAATTCCTTTTGGTTGGAAGTGTTATGTTTCCATAAATTCCATTGAATCGATAATATATCGATGTACATATATTGGTATCGTATTATCGGCGATAATAATTACTTCAAAAATGCTCGACTACTAGTCGCCATCGTTTCTTTAAACTCTATTCACATTTGCAAAATCTTGGTCTGTTTCTTCTTGTCTCGATCCGTTCAAGCATTTCCGATAGAGGCTAATTAAAGGCATCGCCAACAAGAGCGCTCCACTCAACGCAATAAAGAAACCGGCCAAGTAAAACGACAGATCGTACGTCCCCGTGATATCGTAAAGCCATCCTGAAACAATGAAAACACATTTTGCACGCTCAGGCATCAGTAGGTTCCAGAGAGAGGGAGGACGCTGCATTTGCTCGAATTTTCTCGACTGTCAGACAATGAAAGTTTGGCCGTAATTACATGACGCTTTATCTGGGCCATGGAACTTCAAAGCTATTACGATCGTATAATTTATACAAACCTTCTAAATTACCGTGGGCAGAGCCACTGATAATTGATCTAGCTACCCTTTGACTTTTTCGCATCTACAAATTGAATTAAGTGGACCTACCGATATAATTGTTTACAGCATTTAATTTCTAGCATATCTAACTTTAAAAACCATAATTTTCCACATCGACGATATTGACAGAATTGTAAAAGTTAACAAATTATAATATAAATAAATTTTTATTCAATTTTACTGAACATATTAATGTCATTGCTACATGGAATTCTTTTAGACGAGGTATATTTTATATTCCATTGAATCTGTGGTATAGCATGTAAATGAAAATAGTTTGGTCTTACCTGCCAGAGGAGGACCCATAAGATTTGCAACACCTTGAACCAAGAGCAGGAGGCCATATGCATTTGTGAATCTTTCCAGTGTGATCAGTTCAACGAGGATAATGCTGGTAAGACTATAGTTCGCCCCGATGAATAATCCGAAAGCGCCAGAGATTGCGCATAAAGTATAATAACTGCCAGCTACTACAGGTATTAACGCTGTCACTGCACCACAAAAGGCCATGCATACTGCGTATACGATGAATGCATTTACCCATGCTCTGTCACCTGCCCAACCAAGGAGTATCTGCAAAACAATCCATTTTCAGTATTCAAACCTTACTATAATATTTTTAGTCTGTTATACATATAATATTTTTGTAATATCTTCTTGTGCTTTTTGTAATTATAGGTGGAAAATGGAAGTTGGAAAATGGAAGTTCACCAACAATACAGAAGTTTGCATAATTATACGTTCCTGTCGAGGAAACAAATTTCAAGAACCAAGTGTACGTATACCTGCAATTTCGCTGAATCGATAGAAGACGGATAACTTTTCTCAGAATTATTTCTATGTTAATCTCACTAACACAGATCTATTAGAACCCTTGCGTGACGCAAACTCAGGGTTAAAGGGAGTTTACAATCAAATGAGATCAGGGAGGATAGAAGGAACTAACCTGCACCGTCATTGAGTGACCTAAGACGGGATTGACGTAATACGGACCTTTAAGAAGCTTTTCAGGTTTAACAAAAACGTTCGATCGTGTGTTGATGATGAGAACAGTATACGTTGCTGATTTGCATGAGAGGCTTTTTCAAACAGATACTCGAACAGTTTTCGCTTACCAATAGCGACAATGTTATATTTGTAATTATATTTGGGATTATATTTGTAATTTGAAATTTGCTATTTTTCAAGAAAAATATATCATCTTTGGAATACACTATAGTTAATTAATTCGAATTTACATTTCAAGATACCAACAATTAGATAACAATTATAACTGCCAGCAGATCAGTATCCAACGCTTTTACAAGCTCAAAGAATAGATGACAATCAATAGTTACGTAAGATTTTAGTGGATTTGATTGAAATATTATTTCGAAGCCGTACGAAAGTACAAAGCGAATATGGCATCTGAATTTTTAGAAATTTCACTCGTAAAGAGGAGCAGCCCTTTCAGGAATGTCTCAGTGAATCAGTAAGTGGAAATAACCATTCTTTATTGACCGATAAATAGCGGTAAGGCAAACTAATATTGGAACACATAAAGGAACAAAGTAATGGTGCAAAGGAGAACCCACTGAACAATAAACATCGATATTTGGAATTATCGACACACCGCCCAAGTGGCACGTCGACATTAAGTAACACGGAGTGCAGTACGCGTTGCCATTGTTACATTTTCACGTTTAACGCATCTACGGTTATTGTGTTTTAATCATGACGATTGTTATTGCAAAATTGTGATTAAACATGAAAGGAAATGGAAAGAAAAATATGCTATATCGTTTCCAATTGTACGATTCGAAAGTGTTCTAGACAAATCGATGTCATTATATTTGAAACAATGTTCCGAATATATAAGTCAACGTCCAAATACCTTATTGGCATTAAGCAACGACTAATTGTGGATAGCGCAGAAATTAAATTGCAATAACATAGTAAGAATGCAAGGAACGTATATACGCATGAAAAAGCTATATTACATTTACTTTTTAGGATCGAGTGAATCTCTATCTCGATTGTCCAGAGATAATATTTGATTTCGTGGATTATCGAGAGTAAAAGGACATTCGAAAATTAAATTTACTAAAATTTCTATTAACCAAAAGTAACAAAACTTTAACGCAAGTAGAATAATAAATTCTTACTTCGCCGATCATATTGGTTATCCCTATGACCGATATTAAGATGGATGCATCCGTTTCACTGAAACCCATCTCGATTGCGAGGTCCGACATATACACGTAGGGGACGTCGTACCAAGTATGCAGTAGAAAATTACTAATGGCGAAGAGCAAAAAACGAGAATCAGCGAAATGAGAAAAATCGAGCATATCCACGACGAGGTCCCAGAATTCCCAAAGACCGGCGTACCAGACGAGCTTAGTCTTCGCTATGGTGGTCATCGAGTTCCTATAAATATCCGGACAACTGGATGCCCTGAGTCTATATCGATTTATATTCAACATAGCACCTCTGTACGTAAGGCTGTGCCTATGCACTCTGATATCCTTCAAATAGGCAGTGGGTAGTCTCCTGGTATGCTCGAGGGTGCTGGATCTCCTCAGCGAGCTATCCAGATTGATCTTCTTCAACCACCACAATCGCCAAGCGGCGTCCGTTTGCTGTTGAAGAGTTTGCTCGTCGTTGGATAAGACCTTGTCCTTGTTTTCCTTGCTTTTCAGCTCGGACAAAGAGCTCGGCGTGGGCACGAACCTGGCTGAAGGTATGCTGAGCTGATCGTGAAGCGGCCCGGAATCGCTGAAGCTCCTCGAGGAGATCAGCAGGCTCGGATAATTTTGCAGTAACACGTTGTACACGTTCTTACGAGTGCTGAGTAGTTCCAATACCTCTAGCGGAACTTTTTCCCCGTTTTTCACGAAGGTAGGCAAGCTTACCAGACTGGAAAATAGCTTTTCACCGTCTTCTTCCTCTTCTTGAATCCGAAGGTTCTCCATGATCGTGAGGGTGTTCAACGAACTGTTCGCGGAGAACGAGTCCATACTGGAGCTCTGAACCCTGGTCCTCTTTTTCTCGCGGTTCTTCCGTCGTTCTTCGGTTTTCGCCTTCGCCCTGATAGTGGTCCATTCGAGATCCCTCATAAGACAGCCGCAGACGGCCAAATTGAGGAACAGGCCGGCTAATATCAGCGTGGATCCTCGCCAACCGTATTCATCGAGCAGATATTGCGTAACTGGGGCGAAGATGAACGTTCCTATACCGCTTCCACAGACGGACAGACCGGTTGCGAATGATCTCTTCTTATCGAAGTAGTAAGCTACGATGACTACGGCTGCGACGAAACACAAGGATAAACCAAAGCCGGCGAGAACCCCGAAAGTGAATATTAAAACCTCCATAGAGTTGGCGCAAGAGCTTATGACGAAACCCGTTGTGGCCAGGATGCTTCCCACTATAGAAACTCTTCGACAACCGTATCTGTCTGTCAAGAAACTGGCCACTGGGCCCGACAGTAACGGCATCGCCATGAACAAGCTACCTATCCAGGCCGTCTTCGACTTGCCCTCGCCGAAATACTTGAGAAATTCCACGTAGATCACACCGAAGGAGAACGTGATACCGTCGGCTATGAGGTTAACCATGAAGGAAGCTGCGACCACCACCCATCCCCAACCGCCATCAGGTGGTCTAGCTTCGCACAATTGCCCCAAGCTGGAATTATCCTCGGAGCTGCTAGTGGTTGATGGAGGGATCGACGGGCTAGATTGCGGCCTCTGCTCACGGGACTGTTGCTTCTTCGAGTCTTTATTAAATTGCACATGGTGCTGTTGCTTGTCCTCCCGCGGCGATTTTCCGTTAACCAGCTTCTCTGTGCTCTTCTCGGACGGTGAGTGGTTCTTCGACAGGATCTTCGTCGGAGAACCGAAAATCGAGTTTCTCTCCGTAAACACGCTTTTACGCTTTGGTAGATCTGGCACACCGTCCTTGTACAGACTGTCAGGCTTCTTCACAGAATTTTGCGACAATTCTTTCAATTCTTGCCTAGCTTCCTGTCGGATCTTCGAACCAGGTTCGGCGTAAACACCATCGTACGTTTTCTCCAAACAATTTCGTATCTCTTCGTCCTTCTCGATGCCCACATCGTTCTCGTAAATCTGATCACTAGACGTCTTCGATTGTTCCTCGGACAGATTTCCGATTTGGTCAGAATATTTTCTCAAACGGGAGACACTCTTTACTATCGAATTCAATTCTGACGACGCCGTATCGCTACCTTTACGCGAATCTGTTTTACGCGGCGTCTCCCGTGGGGTCCTATTCAAGGAAGAACATCTTTTCTCGATCAGCAGCTCCTCGTCGCTTTTTCGTGGTATCACCTCCACGTTCCTCACTGAATCCTCTATACTGTCTTCCTCTTTGTTACTGTCCTCTGTCTCGATCGTTTTGCTCGATTGAGTCGGTTTCTCCACACCGTTGAACTTGGCCCTCTCGGCCATGATGATGGTACCAAGAATAAGGAGGAGCCTGCTGTTCAAGTGCAGTCTTCGATCGGCCAGCGCAACGACATCGAACCTATACTCTTCTTCTCGTTTAACGATTAACTATCCTCGCTTATCGATATCTCTATGTAACAGGATCAACTATACCTCTTTCTTTCCGCCGTTCTTACCCTTATATCTTCTCTTCTCCTATAGCACTTAAAAACGCGCGCACCGCTAGAAAAAAAGTCATGTCGCAGCTACGATCGCAACCGTGCGATCGATTCAAAACTGATCTAGTTTCGTCCTTGATTTAAACAACGGTAAACCCGGCCACTCGTAGAGCTGTCTAGTGAACTGACGGCGTAACGACAACAACGACGCTGACGATCTGCACGAATTCTCAAAGTTCCTCGTATAACGCTGGTGAATCGCATCTGGGCCGCCACCATCGCAAACGTGGCCCAGGATGCGGGAAGCTTTCCTTCTTCTCGGGCCCTGGTTAATCGGGACCGCCTCCTCCTCCGCGAAACGATCGTCAACCCAGGCACCCATACGGCGAACGGTACAGCTTCGGCTCTTGTGGTGTATTCTGCGATAAAAATAATGTGTTACTTCGTATTATCGACGGTGCATCGTAATGCTTATTACCGTACGTAAGATTATACTTATGTGGTTGGGAAAGATTTATTTCTTGCTCGTAATAGGGGAGATAAAATTAATCTGTACATAAGCTTTTTCAAGTTCAATTTCTTTACTGTTTCAGGTAATCTTGGATTCGTTTCTTCCATGTGTCTGTTTTCCTGGAATGGATTTTTACCCCACATACAGATAAACCGAATGGAGGTAGGATCAGGACGTAGAAAAATATAGGTTCAGAGATTAAGTTCGAACAATGATTAACATTGATTTGTCTATTTTTGGATTAACTGTTATTCGAATTTGTTAATATTCCAAGGGTCGATAATTAATTTATTAATTATTTAATATTCAATGAAATTCGAAGGATGCATTCTCTACTGCCAGAGAGTGTTTAAAATTTGTCCAAATTAGTATGCAGTAGGCAGTCGTCCATAAGATCGGAAGTCTCGAGCTCTTCATTATGAAATCATGCAGAGGGTAAGACATATTACCGGATTATTCTTAATCTACTTATAACGATCGTATTAACGTGAGAAATGCTTTATCTTAATCCATCGATCAATAACCGGAAATGTTGATTACCGGAGCGAAACTTGCATTTTATTTTTTAATGAAACTTACTTCTTATCTGTGCTTTTAATCAATCGCGACTATGAAAACTTCGAAAGTTTCTTACTAAAAAACGATATATCGTTCTTAAGGCTTGTTCCCACAATTACCAGTATACTCCATATTTTACATCCCTCGTTATTTCGTATTTATTATTATTAATCATTAATCTACGTTCTCATGCCAATTTTCCTTCTAATATTTACGATTTTTGGAGTTCTTTATGATATTTATAATATTATATATCTCTTCGCAGCAAACTGACCAAAAACTTTAACCGATTAAAAGATATTAACAACATATAATTATACAATTTTACATAATTACTATAAATTACGAACGCAACTTCTACCATGTAAAAATTGATGTCTCGATATATTTCGAGTCTTCCACTTGCTACAGAGTTTCATCTGAAGAATCTTCATTATCATCCAACATCGTTCCAATACACCACTTTAATGCTTCATTATATTTGTCATACAACATTTAGATTAATCCCAGATTCATTTATTCGAATGACTATTGATCAGCATCCGCCATTTTTCGAACTGGTATTGAGAATGCGAAATGCGGATGCAACGATTAAAGTACACTCGGCATACAAATATAACAGAAAGAGTTCGTATTAAACGTTCGTTTCATCTGACCTTGTTTTCAAGTTGCACCCGTTTTTATGCCGTATCAATTGTTCAACCGCCTTCGCAGACAGTGCCATTATTCGCTTGATACGCTAAGGAGAATTGATTGCTAATATCCAAATGAGATCAGCCACGTTGGTTAATTCGCGAAGAGAACGATCGCAACCATGCGCACCCATGGTTGTAACCGAGAAACAAGGTCAGCCTGAATAAATCGCATGGTATATTTTACTATTTTTACTATTTTTTCTTTTTCTACTTTCTTAACACTTGGGTACCATATACACGCGTAGAATTTATTTCCTGTGTAACTCAAATTTGCTTGCGAAAATTAAAGAAGATAATGAAATTACAGAAGATTTGCGAATTTTCGCGAATCCTAATTTCTGTCAGTAAGTGTATATATTTTACAATAGGTACTTTATAAATTTAAATATTTATCTAATATCATAGGCCACGTTTTACATTGCAAAGGAATCAATTACTCCAATGATAGAAACTTTTTATTTCATTCTCCTTTGGTACATGGATAATCAGTAAAGCCTTTGAATTACACAATAATTAAACAAATAATTAAAATCGTAATAGTAACTTCTAACATTCGTTAAATTCAATGCAATTTGACAAAACTTAAATAACTCTGAAGTGATTGCTACTACGAAAGCTCGGAAAAAATAGACCATCATCATAGCCCACTGGTAGTCCCAAATAAGATACGCGTACCGATTCGATACATAAATCTGTCCCAATTTAAAAACATCTATAAATCGCTGCCCGCATTCGGTGGTCCTTGCCAAATCGTGAAAAGTGCGGGAGACGCTTCATAACGAAGTTTCGCGGAGCAAGAACGACAAAGGACCCCGCAAAGCTGCAACGAAAGAAAAGGCGAATACGAGCAACATAGGGAGTAGAATTCTCACGTCGTCTGAATTCGACGTTTGGCAGAGAGACGCGTCGACGTTGAGATTTGCTTCTGGCACTTCGTAACTAGCCGAAGTAGCTCGAGTTAGAGTCGGCGATTATAAATGAAGTTCATTGTGTATGAGTTGCTATCAATTTAACAGTAGCCACGATGATCACGTGCGTATCTTGCGATCCCCTGTCTTTCCTTCCGCCACCTCTTCTTCTCTATCTCATCACCATCTTCTGGTTATTGTTCCACTTCTTCTGGTGTTTCCACGTATTCTACGCGATTCGGTTCGCTATCGCTGATGTTCGCCGGTAGACCTTCGGCAGGGGCTTCCGCAAAACGAAAAACCTTATCTGCAGCGGTACACTCTGACGCGTTTAGAACAGTGCGCAACGTTATTGTCAGACTTTGAAACTCGGGGAAATTTTAGAATACGCGATTGTTCGACCAAGTGTGAATACCAAAAGCTGATACACGTAGAATGGGAGCACGGTTTCTGTCTCCTTCCTCTCTCGCGATCTTCGTTATCAGATCTTGGGAATTAAGGGACGTTTCTGAGAATGCTTCTGATTTGCTCGCGAATATTACAGATATGTACTTTGTATTAAATACGTATATTCGGAATTTAGAATTGCGTCTCTGGCGTAATGATATCGGGCAGATTTTGGTATTAAAGTAAAATTTGGAAGCAATAAAAGATACAGCGAATAAAAGATACGAAGTAATATTGAATATTGAATATTGATACTTGGATATTCGGAAATTCGAAAATTTGGAAATTTCAGTATCCGAGCATTCGAAAGTCCCAAAATTTTTTAATTTTTAAATTTGAAATTTTCGAGATTTATAAACGTGAGATAGAAAAAAATAAAAGTAATAATGTACGTACGATAAATTTAATCTCCAATATGTGATGCTTATGAAATAAATATTTCCCCGAATTTCAATGAATCCATATATTATGAACTTGTAATTTATCACAGTATTATTTTTCGAATCTTTAATTCAGTATCATTTCCAGATGATTTATTTAAACAGCCTCGCGTTATGAATCTCGATTAATTGTAACATACATTTGCTTGATATCGATTGTAGTAATAAATATTCAGAACGAACGAATACACACTCGCTCCTTCAAATTCGAATATCTATATACACAGCTTCAAACAGCATTACAATAATATTTGTAAATAACCTTTCCAAACTGTAATCCATCCAATACAGCATTTATGCATTTACTATCTAACAACAGTTTCCTTATTTTACATTAATTTTTACAACGTATTACAAACGGTATCTCACAGCAAACTACCATATCACTATGAATTTTATTTCCTTTGATAATTCTATTAAGAACTTAAAAATAAAGAAGAATAAAAAAATATACAATATTCTACGTTTTAATTTCTTCTTTTATTTATTAATGAAAAATACGTATTTCATTCCTTTTGAATATTCAAAGATCGGTGTCCAAACCATCAGACCACTGATCCTTTCAGCTTTTGACGAAGATTTAAGGCGGTGAGAAAGAAAAGCCGCACGGATGCCTTTCCGTAATTCGTCAAAATAATTCTGGATTTAGCAGTGACCTCGATCTAAGCTGTAAGGAAGAGGGCGATTTACTTTTTGCGCGAACTTTATGCTATCTTAATAACCGACCCGCACGTAAACCAGGAAATTCACAGCTCGAATAATTCCATAAAGCAGCTGCGTCTTTTATACGCCAAGAATAAATTCCTACGAATTTTTCTTGCATTTCAAATTAAAACAATTATTCATACTTAAATCCACCCACAATTTGCCCAAACCTAAATTTTTATTTCTCCAATTACTGAAAATATATACCTGCTTTCGGAAAAGTTAACGTTGCTTTGAATTTAAATAAGAATACACTTATATACACCATTTTATTTTCATCCTATCGCTTTAATTATTACTATCTATGTATAATGTATTATATTTAATATATTGCACGTTACAAGTCGATAATTATAGTATTAACTACAAAAGTAATTCGAAGATCTATAAAACAGACAGTAACATCGAAATAAGACCGGGACCCAATATCAATTTTTCCAACCTGAATTTCCAAACTTCTAATTATATTTTTCTCTCCAATATGTTACTTTGCGTACCTTCGAAATATCGGTATCAGGGTGACATTTAAATGTCAGCAAGTTCGAATAGTCGAATATCGTTTCACGGATGTACCATTTTCATCGTTATTTACACAAGGTAACGGCCAACTATAGCCAGAATGCAACGGCAGAAAACGCAGAAAATTAACGAGCCTCGATTATAGAATAACGCCAACTTGTCAATTGCAAAATAAGGATGAAGAAAATGGACGGTATCGCACGACAAAACTCCCTCCACCGCGATTCTGGCACCAAACCTGAGAATTGTTCGCGAGCTAAATTCATCTCGTGCAGCTTTTAAGTCATTGCCGAGTAAATTTTAGCCGGAGCTGCGGGAAAGGTTTACTATTACCTTAATTGCATTAGCGATTATAAGAAGAGGCAGCAGTGAACGAGAAAAAATGTTACGCAAGTATCATAGGGACAGTTAATCAACTTTGGCAAGTTCTTCCTCGTGGGTGTCGCAAATGAACACATGGGTATGGGAGATTGTGTAATTCGAATTAATCAACGCTATTAATTCGGAAGAATGAAATACTGGAACTACTGAACTAGTGAAAAAGACTGGATCCACGTTCTCAATTCTGTTTTTTGTAATTACCAAAAATACGTAACTTATATTATTATTATAACTATGGCTTTATCTTTATGATAG